CCCTGCAACCGTGCACTGAAGTTTTAGATAAATAAACTAAGCTGAAACCATTAAATAACTAACCAGCCTGTGCCAGCGATCTGTGTCAGCTGATCCCTGCAACCGTGCACTGAAGTTTTAGATAAACTAAGCTGAAACCATTAAATAACTAACCAGCCTGTGCCAGCGATCTGTGTCAGCTGATCCCTGCAACCGTGCACTGAAGTTTTAGATAAACTAAGCTGAAACCATTAAATAACTAACCAGCCTGTACCAGCGATCTGTTTCAGCTGATCCCTGCAACCGTGCACTGAAGTTTTAGATAAACTAAGCTGAAACCATTAAATAACTAACCAGCCTGTGCCAGCGATCTGTGTCAGCTGATCCCTGCAACCGTGCACTGAAGTTTTAGATAAAACTAAGCTGAAACCATTAAATAACTAACCAGCCTGTGCCAGCGATCTGTGTCAGCTGATCCCTGCAACCGTGCACTGAAGTTTTAGATAAATAAACTAAGCTGAAACCATTAAATAACTAACCAGCCTGTGCCAGCGATCTGTGTCAGCTGATCCCTGCAACCGTGCACTGAAGTTTTAGATAAATAAACTAAGCTGAAACCATTAAATAACTAACCAGCCTGTGCCAGCGATCTGTGTCAGCTGATCCCTGCAACCGTGCACTGAAGTTTTAGATAAATAAACTAAGCTGAAACCATTAAATAACTAACCAGCCTGTGCCAGCGATCTGTGTCAGCTGATCCCTGCAACCGTGCACTGAAGTTTTAGATCAAATAAACTAAGCTGAAACCATTAAATAACTAACCAGCCTGTGCCAGCGATCTGTGTCAGCTGATCCCTGCAACCGTGCACTGAAGTTTTAGATAAATAAACTAAGCTGAAACCATTAAATAACTAACCAGCCTGTGCCAGCAATCTGTGTCAGCTGATCCCTGCAATCGTGCACTGAAGTCTTAGATCAAATAAACTAAGCTGAAACCATTAAATAACTAACCAGGCTGTGCCAGCGATCTGTGTCAGCTGATCCCTGCAACCGTGGACTGAAGTCTTAGATCAAATAAACTAAGCTGAAACCATTAAATAACTAACCAGCCTGTGCCAGCGATCTGTGTCAGCTGATCCCTGCAACCGTGCACTGAAGTTTTAGATAAATAAACTAAGCTGAAACCATTAAATAACTAACCAGCCTGTGCCAGCGATCTGTGTCAGCTGATCCCTGCAACCGTGCACTGAAGTTTTAGATAAATAAACTAAGCTGAAACCATTAAATAACTAACCAGCCTGTGCCAGCGATCTGTGTCAGCTGATCCCTGCAACCGTGCACTGAAGTTTTAGATAAATAAACTAAGCTGAAACCATTAAATAACTAACCAGCCTGTGCCAGCGATCTGTGTCAGCTGATCCCTGCAACCGTGCACTGAAGTTTTAGATAAATAAACTAAGCTGAAACCATTAAATAACCACCCAGCCTGTGCCAGCGATCTGTGTCAGCTGATCCCTGCAACCGTGCACTGAAGTTTTAGATCAAATAAACTAAGCTGAAACCATTAAATAACTAACCAGCCTGTGCCAGAGATCTGTGTCAGCTGATCCCTGCAACCGTGCACTGAAGTTTTAGATAAATAAACTAAGCTGAAACCATTAAATAACTAACCAGCCTGTGCCAGCGATCTGTGTCAGCTGATCCCTGCAACCGTGCACTGAAGTTTTAGATAAATAAACTAAGCTGAAACCATTAAATAACTAACCAGCCTGTGCCAGCGATCTGTGTCAGCTGATCCCTGCAACCGTGCACTGAAGTTTAGATAAAAAACTAAGCTGAAACCATTAAATAACTAACCAGCCTGTGCCAGCGATCTGTGTCAGCTGATCCCTGCAACGTGACTGAAGTTTAGATAAATAAACTAAGCTGAAACCATTAAATAACTAACCAGCCTGTGCCAGCGATCTGTGTCAGCTGATCCCTGCAACCGTGCACTGAAGTTTTAGATAAATAAACTAAGCTGAAACCATTAAATAACTAACCAGCCTGTGCCAGCGATCTGTGTCAGCTGATCCCTGCAACCGTGCACTGAAGTTTTAGATAAATAAACTAAGCTGAAACCATTAAATAACTAACCAGCCTGTGCCAGCGATCTGTGTCAGCTGATCCCTGCAACCGTGCACTGAAGTTTTAGATAAATAAACTAAGTTGAAACCATTAAATAACCACCCAGCCTGTGCCAGCGATCTGTGTCAGCTGATCCCTGCAACCGTGCACTGAAGTTTTAGATCAAATAAACTAAGCTGAAACCATTAAATAACTAACCAGCCTGTGCCAGCGCTCTGTGTCAACTGATCCCTGCAACCGTGCACTGAATTTTTAGAGAAAATAAACTAAGTTGAAACCATTAAATAACCAACCAGCCTGTGCCAGGGATCTGTTTCAGCTGATCCCTGCGAACGTGGACTGAAGTCTTAGATCAAAATAAACTAAGCTGAAACCATTAAATAACTAACCAGCCTGTGCCAGCGATCTGTGTCAGCTGATCCCTGCGACCGTGCACTGAAGTTTTAGATAAACTTGGCTGAAACCATTAAATAACTAACCAGCCTGTACCAGCGATCTGTTTCAGCTGATCCCTGCAATCGTGCACTGAAGTTTTAGATCAAATAAACTAAGTTAAAACCATTAAATAACTAACCAGCCTGTGCCAGGGATCTGTGTCAGCTGATCCCTGCAACCGTGCACTGAAGTTTTAGATAAACTAAGCTGAAACCATTAAATAACTAACCAGCGATCTGTGTCAGCGGATCCCTGCGACCGTGCACTGAAGTTTTAGATAAAATAAACTAAGCTGAAACCATTAAATAACTAACCAGCCTGTGCCAGCGATCTGTGTCAGCTGATCCCTGCGAACGTGGACTGAAGTTTTAGATCAAATAAACAAAGCTGAAACCATTAAATAACTAACCAGCCTGTGACAGCGATCTGTGTCAGCTGATCCCTGCAACCGTGCACTGAAGTTTTAGATCAAATAAACTAAGCTGAAACCACTAAATAACTAACCAGCCTGTGCCAGCGATCTGTGTCAGCTGATCCCTGCAACCGTGCACTGAATTTTTAGAGAAAATAAACTAAGTTGAAACCATTAAATAACTAACCAGCGTGCAGGATCTGTGTCAGCTGATCCCTGCAACGTGCACTGAAGTTTTAGAAAAACTAAGTTGAAACAATTAAATAACTAACCAGCCTGTGCAAGGGATCTGTGTCAGCGGATCCCTGCGACCGTGCACTGAAGATTTAAGATCAAATAAACTAACCTGAAACCATTTAAATAACCAACCAGCCTGTGCCAGCGATCTGTGTCAGCTGATCCCTGCGAACGTGGACTGAAGTTTTAGATCAAATAAACTAAGCTGAAACCATTAAATAACTAACCAGCCTGTGCCAGCGATCTGTGTCAGCTGATCCCTGCAACCGTGCACTGAAGTTTTAGATCAAATAAACTAAGCTGAAACCATTAAATAACTAACCAGCGATCTGTGTCAGCTGATCCCTGCAACGTGCACTGAAGTTTTAGATCAAATAAACAAAGTTGAAACCATTAAATAACTAACCAGCCTGTGCCAGGGATCTGTGTCAGGTGATCTTGCAACCGTGCACTGAAGTTTAGATCAAATAAACTAAGCTGAAACCATTAAATAACTAACCAGCCTGTGCCAGCGATCTGTGTCAGCTGATCCCTGCAACCGTGCACTGAAGTTTTAGATCAAATAAACTAAGCTGAAACCATTAAATAACCAACCAGGCTGTGCCAGAGATCTGTGTCAGCTGATCCCTGCGAACGTGGACTGAAGTTGTAGATCAAATAAACAAAGCTGAAACCATTAAATAACTAACCAGCGATCTGTGTCAGCTGATCCCTGCGACCGTGCACTGAAGTTTTAGAGAAAATAAACTAAGTTGAAACCATTAAATAACTAACCAGCGTGTGCAAGGGATCTGTGTCAGCTGATCCCTGCAACCGCGCACTGAAGTTTTAGATAAACTTGGCTGAAACCATTAAATAACTAACCAGCCTGTGCCAGCGATCTGTTTCAGCTGATCCCTGCAATCGTGCACTGAAGTTTTAGATCAAATAAACTAAGTTAAAACCATTAAATAACTAACCAGCCTGTGCCAGCGATCTGTGTCAGCGGATCCCTGCGACCGTGCACTGAAGTTTTAGATAAAATAAACTAAGTTGAAACCATTAAATAACTAACCAGCCTGTGCAAGGGATCTGTGTCAGCTGATCCCTGCAACCGTGCACTGAAGTTTTAGATAAACTTGGCTGAAACCATTAAATAACTAACCAGCCTGTACCAGCGATCTGTTTCAGCTGATCCCTGCAATCGTGCACTGAAGTTTTAGATCAAATAAACTAAGTTAAAACCATTAAATAACTAACCAGCCTGTGCCAGGGATCTGTGTCAGCTGATCCCTGCAACCGTGCACTGAAGTTTTAGATAAACTAAGCTGAAACCATTAAATAACTAACCAGCCTGTGCCAGCGATCTGTGTCAGCTGATCCCTGCAACCGTGCACTGAAGTTTTAGATAAAATAAACCAAACCGAAACCATTAAATAACTAACCAGCATGTGCCAGCGATCTGTGTCAGCTGATTCCTGCAACCGTGCACTGAAGTTTTAGATAAACTAAGTTGAAACCATTAAATAACTAACCAGCCTGTGCCAGCGATCTGTGTCAGCTGATCCCTGCAACCGTGCACTGAAGTTTTAGAGAAAATAAACTAAGTTGAAACCATTAAATAACTAACCAGCGATCTGTGTCAGCTGATCCCTGCGACCGTGCACTGAAGTTTTAGAGAAAATAAACTAAGTTGAAACCATTAAATAACTAACCAGCGTGTGTCAGGGATCTGTGTTAGCTGATCCCTGCAAATGTGCACTGAAGTTTTACAGAAAATAAAGTAAGCTGAAACCATTAAATAACTAACCAGCCTGACAATGGAGGTCGACAGACCTGGTGATAATTGCTTCTATAGAAAGTTAGCACATGGCAGTGTCAATCTCTTGCTTTTCTTCTGAGTAGTATTTTATTTAGTTGTAATTCAAACAATAATTTGCTTCTTGAAATTAAGGAATTAATTATTTTTTTTCTTTATAAATCTCAGATCCTGCCTTTACCTGCTCCCTCCTATACTGATGTGGTGTATGTGGTATTGCTGAGCTTGTATGTGGTATGTGAACTGTTATACTTTTAAAAACAAAACTGTTTTATAAGTTAAGTTTTCTTTTGTGACCCATCCCATGCCCCTGTTATTTCTTCTCCACATCTGAACCATGGTAAAGTTTGCAGTTCAAGGGCCTGAGGCATGAAATTCTTTTCAGATCAGCTGTGATCAATATTTTTTGGAACTTGATAAATAACAATAAAAGCTGTAATGGCTCCATTAGCATTTTGTGTAAATGTTTGTGTTAAAATTATAGCTTTAATGAGGTCTTACTACATTAGTTTTAGTTTGTATATGTGTACATATAGTATGTATATTTACAGTACAGTATGTTGTGTTTGTTGACATATTTTCAGGTGGAAGCAGAATATGTGAGGATTACTACTGCTGCACATGTTCCAAGGCTTTTTACACAACTTGACCAATACACTGACCAGCTCATAAAAGTCTTCAAGAAAAAAGGAGGCGTTGCAGGGAAGAAAATTAGACAAACTTTGGCCCCAGCCACACAGGTGCGTTATTCTGTTGGTAGCAAAATATTATGGCTAATAAGATCATTTTCAAATTTAAACAGCTAGTGTATGGTAGCTGCACAGTGCACTTACATTTATATTAAGCAAGACAAAGTTTGGTACTCAAAACGTTGGAAAATTTAAATTACCTAAACATATGTAAAATCTGATCCCTTGATTTAGGTTAAACCAGAAGTGAATGTTTTTATGTTATGTTTTGAATGCAAAAAAGATGATGTATTAGTTTGTCTTTACCTCCATTATGGACATATATAATGTGGTGGAAACCCTGCCCAACAGGTTAACTATTCATGTCCATGTGATGATTAGTTGGTCTTGTGTACATGTCTATCTGTGCAGTGGATATGTCATTCATTTTGCGTATAACGTGAGTTTCTGTCATCCTAAAGTATATCTGTTTTCTCTTCCTGTATCTCTGCCACTCTCTACAGAAGGAAACCATTGAAAAGGGGAGGGAGTGTGTCCTCAGGGCACTACCTTTTTACCTGAATGAAGACCCAAGCATCCTCTTCAAAGAATAATTGGTTGGTAATTTTAGTTTAGTTTTTTATCTGTATTAAACCAAATTTTGAATAACTAATGTTGTTGCATGTTGTAATGTTGTTGTTGTTGTAATTTGCATGGAACCTGTTTAAATGTTTTGGGAAATCTTCTTGTATACCCAAACTATTTATATTTATCGTTGAATCTGTAGTCTAAAATAGTGGCGCACTGGGGTGCATGTTCCTAATATTGTGTTTACGTCATTAAAGGGTAGCTTTGGCCCTTTTTCTTTCTTTTTTTAAAACTGGATGCCATTTTTCTATGTTTTTGTGTCTAAGCTACAGCTGTTCAGAGGGAGCTGGAACAAATTACCCTTGCTATCTTTACCATCGAAAGAGCTGATGCCAGCACTCCTCCAGCCGATGTGGGTGTAAGCGCCAGACGTCTGCTTTATATTTTTATTTACGATTGAGTTCATGTTTGTTTTATAATTCATAGATTCATTACATAAGTCATCTTTTCAGGATTAATAAATGTGAAAATATATGTGTTTACATAAAGTAATTTTAAGTCACTGTTTTGGGATTGGAACCTAAAAGGGGGTACCTCTCACTTTAATTATGTAAGTGCAATAGTAGCATGAAACCCTGTGTGAGAGGGAAGGGGAGGAGCATGGACAGAGAGGTTAGGAGTCTCACGGTTTTCTGACCGTGTGCACAGCTAGTTCTGGATAACTGCTATTTTTTGGAACTTTCATGCTTTTTAGGAAGGAGTTCATTGTTACATCTTCCGTTTGTAATAAATAAACAGTCTTCAAATCATAATGCAACTGGAAGCATTTCTTTTGGAAACCAGGAACACGCGTCAGCCATAGACTCTTCTTTTTTGAACTTGGTTTATTGGAAATTACCCTACAGTGGGTATAACCATCTAGTGTGTCCTGCATGACCTGGAAGACCTGGCCTCTGCATGTGCACTCTTAATGGGTGGGATATATGCACTGAATCTCAGTTAACCTCAAGACTGAAAGCTAAGAGACAATCAAAAGTATTGAGATTTAAAGGATTTAATTGAGAGATGATACTGCACCAGAAATGTTGAAGGGTGGTGTGTATATTAGCGTTCAAGGCATATTGTTATGAGGTGGAAATATGTTCATATTCAGTTTGTGTTACATTGTGTGCATTGTAAAGGTAATTGCAATACATACTAAAATTAAGGGTAAGTTAGGAGGTTGATCTGATATCCTCGTGTTGGTGTTGTTCCCAGATCATCATACTAAATGTTGTTCCAGGATCAACATTGCAAGTGACCAATCAGAATGTTGTGACGTCATACTTTTGCGACTTCGGGAAAAACTGGCGTAAAACAAAAAACTGTACTTAAGCTGCGTGAAACCGCCTCTGTCCGCCGATCAACTGACCCTAACCCTAACCGTAACCCTTTAATAAACAGTAAGCAGAATTGATATTGTCCTTGCAACATTGGAATTTCATAAATGCACGAATGGCTTGGAATAGAATAACGTCACAACAATGTGATTGGTCACTTGCAATGTTGAACCTGGAACAACATTTTCATGATGGTCTGGGAACAACACCAACACGAGGATATCAGATCATCCAAGTTGGGAATGCAGGATGAATGTATATTTTGTGGACTTTTAAAGACGAACAATTGTTTCCATGTTAAAATGTTTCCATCTGAAGTTTTTTGCCCAAACACTGGTAAAATAAATGTTGACAGTGGCGAGTGTTAAATGGTTACTGCTGTGCTGTTGCAAAAAAACTGAACGCTGACAAGCTGTTTTATTGTTAGACCATAATGTTGGCATGTTTTGTTAAAGTTTTATTTGGGATGGTGACGTAATTTTCTTTGATTGCTAATATCAGTGGACTATTTATTATTATTATTATTATTATTATTATTGTTGTTGTTGTTGTTACATTTTTTTTTTTTAAATTGTGGCTGTTGAGGTGGACACTTCACTTTGCATTGTTAAAGGAAAGCACTTCATTGGCATTGTGTTACTGGACTGACCCTAAGCAATCATTGCAAATAGCAACTTTGCTATCCATTTTAGACACTAAAAGAAAAAAACACTCACAGACCTTACTAGCATCACATGTGCATAACTCAAGTGTCATCTTATCAATGTGTTATGTGATCTTCAATGCATTTTTTTTTCTTCTATTTCTGGTAGATACAGACATTTAATTTAAAGTCTTGATGTTGCATCTGTCTACATACTGTTAATTACTAACCCTAATGAGCTGTTGTGTTTTATTTTGGACTGGGTTTACACAAATGCTCACTGAATGTGTTGGCAATAAAATAAATTTAAAAAAATAAGTTGGATGTACTTAATTCATTTGTGTGGAACCTGTTGACAAAATAGATTTATGTAAAACTAATTAATAAAGCACAAGGTGGCTGAAAATATAATATTTGAATTAATCTAACTTAAATTTAACATTTTACTGCCACAAATAAGAAATGTGTTGAAGTAACTAATCTAAACTATCTAACCTGAAAATATATCATCTATGTTCATACAACATACAACATAACTTGATTTAGTTAGTCTTAAATATGTCTTGTTAATCTTAAGTAGTTTTTTTAAATTAGATGAACTAAAGATTTTTGCTTTAAACTAACATAATTCAATTTCGTGGAACCTGTTGACAAAATAATTTTAATTAAAGTCAACGTTTCATTTTTTTGAGTGTAGGAAGACAATCTGGTCTCGGGCTTGTCCAAACTTGATTCCCCAACCGTCATTAATAATATTTATGTCGGGCTGGCGTTGTTGTCTTTCTTCCAGGTTTTTATATTTCACTTCCATCTGTCTACACTTCTCCTCCAGTTGAAGTTTCTCATCTTCAATCTGTTGAATTTTATTCTGGAGATGGTAGTTTTCCTTCTTACTGTCATGTAATGCCCTTTGGATGGCTAAGAGGTCATTTGGCCGGCCACGACAGGAAGGAGAAGCGGCGTAATCTTTTTGCCAAAGGGTTGAAAACAGACCCCACTGAGTAGATATAAATATAAAAAGTACGAAATAAAGATAAACAAAGGGAAAATTACAGTAGAAATTATCTTTAGAGTATTTGAAATTAATAATAGCAAGGATAACAACCTGTAAAGTGATATTATCAATGAAACACAGTTGGCATGATGACCATGCCCACAATGTATAAAATGGATATAAAGCAAATAATTCACACGAAAATATTTTAATAACATAAATAAAGTATATTAAGGCTGTGTCACTGTTCAGCCAAGGACAGTGTGTGAAAAGGTAACTGTCTCCACCTTGGGAAAAGGATGATACTGCAGGTCATCTGAAGCCCTTGATGGATACAAAATAAAATATAAATAATATATTATAATAGAACTGCCTGGTCTGCCATGCAACAGAGAGAACAAATGTGACCGCAGATTGGATGAATTCTAAATTATCTGTTTGCTAAATAAGATGATCCTAACTATCAAATTGGCTCAGTAGTAGTATAGTGGTACACACTAATAAAATATTATAATATGCTATTGCTGTTATATAAGACAAAGAGGATAATATTAACAATGACATAATGTTAATATGAAGAGGCACCTTAGTCGGTTATGATGTGAGGTGGATAATTGTTAAGCAGTAGTCTGCATCAAGCTTAAGGTTTGCTGAAACTCAGTGTAATGACATGTGAGATGAAGACAATACAGAGAATAACTAACTAATGAAGTGCATAGAGGCACTTGACCAGCTTCACAGCTATCATTCTAGCATGACACATTGCTGAGATATAGAGCACACCTATAATAACAACCAATAAGCAAAACCCTGTAGACAACAGCTAAAACTACAGGATTGAGAAGCTGAATTAAATATGTAGACACTGCTAAGCTGATGAGCATGTTACACATTTTCTTTTATTTTTATTTATTTGTTTCTTTTAGAGCAGAAGCTGCATGCTATTAAAAGCCAACATATGCAGACTTCTGCCTTGTTCGGGTGGCAGCATTTTTCTTTTTTCTTTTGTGTCCTGACACGTTTATGTTTTTGTTTGATTATTTTGTTGGTTTTGGAAACGAATTTAAACGAACTTGTGACAATACTTGAGAATCACAGTGACACATGGTGATTAGGCATATGATTGAAAAATGCCTAGGTTTAGAGCTATGAGCTATGAGCAATGCAAAGTTAAATATATATATATATATGTATAAATGGGAAACAACCCTAACTTGAAAGTTTGAAATGTGTGAGATCCATGATTTGTTTGAAAACTAGAAATTATTTCAAACTGCCTTAAGTGAAAATGTAGTGTTGCATCTATTCTCCCAAACCAAGACAAAAAAAAGAAGAAGCATTCTGTAACTTAAAAATAAGGCTGACGTGTTGACAATAGACTAAAACACTAATCCGCAGGTGGCTATCAGGAACAGAGAGGCGAGCAAAGTCACAAACACCAAGGCTGCAGACAGTCACGCAGAAACAGCAGATAACATAGAGACAACGCCTGCTAGAACCGTGGAGAGGAAGGTCACTTCACACGAGATTGTAGGAGTAGGCCACAGAGAAATAATGCAAAACAGTTTTGAGGCAGCCACTTAAGAACTTATTTGACCTTACAGCACAGGCCGAAATTGTGTAGGTTACGCAGTAACCACAGATAGTAGGATAATAGAAGCAAAACCACTTTCTTCTTCATATTCTGCACAGAGCGCTGAGCTGATAGCTGTGATTCGCGCATGTGAAATACACAAAGATAAACAAATAAACATTTATACAGACAGCCAGTATGTTTTCTCTGCTGTGCATCATTTTGCAGAATATTTGGCAAAACAGAGGAATGATTACATCAACCACATCCACCGGTTCAGCATGCCAGCCTGCTACAACGCCTACTGACTGTAATACATTTACCACAACAACTCGCATTGTGTAAATGTGCAGCACACAAAACTGATGGCTCTTTCATTACTACAGGCAATAACTTTGCTGACAGAGCAGCAAAACAGGCGGCACAAACGACAAACATCACATTGATGGCAGTAGACACACATCAGATTCCACTGGATGTGTTGAAAAATGAACAAAAAGCAGCAAGCACAGCCGAGCAGGCAAAATGGCTAAAACACGGTGCAGTTCTGACAAACGACTTAATGATGTGTTATGGCAAGCCAGTGTTGCCAAAATCCCTCCACAAAATGGCGGCGTTAGTGACTCATGGCTGTACGCATTTGTCAACGGGGGCAATGACCTGTATTGTCAACTCTCATTTCTACACTGTAAATTTTGGAACTTCAGCAAAACAATTTGTCAGAACATGCATGGCGTGTCAAAAATAGAATGCTCAGGGGAACCTGAGACCAAAAAGAGGCCGTTTTCCCACACCACCTTATCCTTTTCACACAATTCATATGGACTTTATTGAGCTAAATGAATGCCAAGGGTCGAAATACGCCCTAGTGGTCATAGACGTGTTCTCAAAGTGGCCGGAAATCTACCCAGTGAAAAAGGCAGATACAATTTCAGTAGCAAAATGTATGTCTAAGTTGTAGGAAAATAAAGAGATGATTGTAAATAACGAAGAATGTAATGATGTCTATCAAGTGTCTTGCAGATTACAGCCCAGTGTCTGGGTTCTGATCAAGGTGCTCCAAAGGAAAAACTGGAGCACACCCAGGTGGGAGGGACCACATCAGGTTCTCCTCACCACGCCCACCGCTTGCAAAATTGCGGAACGACCATCCTGGATCCATCAGAGTCACTGCAGGCGAGTAAGTGAAGCCATCTAAACTCAGCCGACACAGGCTCGCCCAATCGTTGTGATCTCGCCCGGTGGAGGGGTCAGCCTTCCTGGCCGGGGGGTCTACTCACGACAGGAGGGTGTGTCCTGTTGTCATGAGGTGGTGGCTCCTAATAGCTGCAGCGGCCCTGACCCTGACCGGGCTCCTCATCTTTGCTTCCGTGAGGGACAACAAGTCACGCTATATGAAGAAAAGGCAGACACTGTATGACAAAGGAAAGTACACCAAGTTTCCCCATGGCTACGCCACTAATTTCTGGTGGCAGTTTATGAACACTACAGCTCACCTGAATAATAAAACTGACTGCTTTGCATGTACCCATATGCCCCTATCCTCACAGACGTTTGGCCTGTGGCCGTACAGCATACCTGAAGATCGCAGTTGGTGCCTGTTGGGCCTGGCAACACATCCAGGCTACGGTACTCTTTGGTCCAAGGCCAACTACAGCATCCCAGCAAAAGCAACCTGGAGGTCATCATGACCCACAAA